GAGGATTAAACCCAGGGCCTCTCATGTACCTTCTAGGCAAGTGCTCTACCACTGAGCTATATCCTTAGCTCAACACTTAACTGGTGAAAGAGATTAAAATGTTATACTTTAATAAAAATTTTATTTAAAATAGATACACTGGGGGTGGTGTAGCTCAATGGTAGAGTATCTGTCTAGCATGCATGAAGCCTGGTTCCATCCCCAATACCACAAAAATGAAACAAATCACAAAGTAACACACCTGTCTAACCAGCACCCGGATCAAAAAACAATATAGGTTCCCTAAAATCTCCTCACAAATGGCCCTCTTTTGACTGTGGAGCTCTGGCATAGAAGTACTCAGTGGAGCTTAAAGCTCAGGGTCCCCGGGGTCCATGCAGGCTTCCAAGACCCATAAATCTCTTAAAATTATAGGTGAACATTTTCCTGAAGTGAGGAGGCAGTACCTTCATCGGACTTTTTCAAAGGGGAGAAGAATCAAAGCTCCAACTGAAGACTGCCTAATGGGGAATCCATTCATTCATCATATCAAATTCATAATACAGTAAAAATGGCTACCCTTTGAGAACTTAGTGTGCCAGGTGCTATGTCGGGCACTTCATGTTTACTATTTGACCCTCTGAAGTGTAAATATCATCATTTCCATTTTGCAGATATGAGAACTGAGCCTCAGAATGAAGTGACTTGCCCAGTGACACACATTAATTATGAAAGTATTTGCAAAGGCTAGTATTCAACATCAGGTTTGCCACACCAAATCCTGTGCTTTTGCAGCTAGACCAGGACAGCTTTTGTAGTATCAAGTTGCCTAACTTCTGCTCCAAACAAGTTAAGCTTGAAATACTAGGGTGAGAAGGAAATGAAAGAGTGAAGTCAAATGCCCAGGGCTTTTTTTTTTTTTTAAACAATTCCCGGCTAACCAATGAAAACTCATTGCAAAGGTGAAAGTACTGTCTTTAAAAGATGCACTTTGCCTTTTAGGGGTGTGGCCTCTTTGTAGGTTTTCTTAAGTAGAAGTTATTATCTAACCACAAACCAACTGTCTGTCATTACACTGCACTTTAGAACGTGGCTATGATTGGCTGACCAAAAGAGCAACATTTGAACTTAAAGAAAAAAACCAAAACAACCAAGGGTTATTTCCGTGAGGAAGATAAAGCTTTGTCATCAGAGAAAACTCCAGCTGGAGTCGGATACTGGGCACTAAAACCCTGTCTTAGGTTCAACCATTTTCACTACCGCAGACACTGGTGTTATTACTGTTGATTTCTTCACCAAGAAATCAGCCCCTATTTTAAGTTAGATATGATATGAAAAGATGCAGAAACCATTTTGAAAGTGCTTTGTAAACTCTAAAGGCTTACAAAAATGCTAGTAACTACAAATATGTAGAGTTTAATATTCAGTTTAAAAAATTTAATCTTTAGGTAGAAAGCAAAAGCCTCCTATCTATAATGGCTAGACCAGGAGCAGGTGGCAGTGACAGGAGCAACCACAGTTCTTGATGCCTACTTTCCTAATCTTTGGACCACCAAGTAGGCTGCATCCTCAGGCATACATAATAAAACCTGTAAAGAAAAAAAAAAGTGGGCCACAGATGACTTCGTTATAGAAAAGAAACCTCAGCCTCATTATTGATTGAAACATTGCATCCTTAATTTAATACACATCATTGGATCTAGGATGCGTACTCAGCTAAAATAGAAGGATAAATGAAAAAAACTATCTCAAGCAGTACACGTTTCCTGCACACAAGGCAAATACAGCAAGTTAGCAAATTTTAGAGAACTTGAAATACTGAAATTCCTATAATTAATATTTTCCTCAGCAAGAGCATCTATTTAAGAGAATATCATTTAGTAGGTAAGCCTGAAACTTCACTGCCTCAAGTTTTATACCCTCTATTTTATGCTCATGAATGAAAGCACGATAGCACTACTTACAGAGCCACCAAAGCAGCAATGCAGAATTTTTTGTTGAAACTCACTTTATTAAAAAAAAACCAAAACTGTCATGAACAATAAATTACAATCATTTCCCCCCTTTTATAAATTCTTCATAAAATATATTTGACAATTTTAAAAGAAAATTTCAAAAGTTGCTTTCATTTCTGAAGTGCTGATGACTTATTTTTTGACCATTTTGTCATGCTGGTGAATTATTTTGTAGCTGCTACAATAGTTTGATTGATAACATTTTACAATTAAAAACAACAAGGAAAAAAAAAAAACAGACCAGCAGAAAGAACTATTTTGTGTGCTATTTATCTGACACTTAATACTTACTTCATCATAATGACAAAGTATCCCTTAGCACCAAAAATCTACAGGAACCCCATCTTCCTAAGTGACGACTAGTGCAAAATAACATTCTATGAGCTAACTGTACAACCCTATATTTTAACTGGACACAGCTGCCTATAAGCTTATTTGAAATATTTGGTCTTTTTTCAATTAAGACAAATTTCATAAAACACTATAAACCATGGCAAGAGACTCTATGAGGAATAATTGTTTATTGAGTACCTATTATGGGCAAGGCACTGTGCACAAATTCTCAATTTCATTTTTTCTCTAGGAAATTTCCAGGAATTGTCAAACATCACTCTCATCTTTTATTTCTTACTTTTTGCTGGAAAAGGCCTGTGGCTAAAAGCCATTTTTTTTAACTATAATTTTTATCAACTTTGAGTGCTAAGCACACAGTAGGTACTTAATAAATACCTCTGACTGAAAGAACAAAGAAAGACGAAGAATTTACTACCATTTTGGTTGGTATCACAGGCTATTTTAGAATACAAGGACTTGAGAAAATTCCAGAAGAAACTTCCTGATCACCTCACACTTTTACCTCCAACGAAAGAAAGAATTTTACTTCACAAGTAAAATCTTTCAAAATAAGTTATAATTGGGCTTGAGGATGTAGCTCAGTGGTAAAGCTCTTGCATAGCATGCTCGAGGACTTGGGTTAGACCCAGCACCAAAAAAACAAACAAACAAACAAAAAAACTACTTTAAATAAGGCAGGAACACAAAACTATACCCTTAGGAAACTGTGACTTTAAGCAATAGATATTTGAAAAGCAAATGAAGCACTGGCCTAGCATCAGCTATCTGTTGAAGTGCCATGTTAGTGACAAGACATTATAATGATGCTTTTTCTTACTTCCAATTACTTGATCACCTTGGTCATATCTGTGTTAAACTAATTTGGTGATGTAGAGGGTCAATTATCACAAAGTTCCTGTGTATTTCCACAAGATTTATAATTTCCAAAAGGATTCTTACACGTAATAGCTTAAAATTGATGTTAAAGTTTTGTGACTTTTTTTTCATCATTTTAGAGGCATTATTTCAATAAAACCTTTCAGTGCAAATTTGAAAATTCCAGATTAAGTATTGCAGTTTAGAATTTTATACACTCTAATTTTTTTTTGTGATGTTTACTTCATTTATCCTCTGAATACATTAAAAATGGAGGAAATTATGACAGCAGTATTGTAAAAGTTGTGGAAGTTCAGAAGCTTAGAAGGCTTTGCAAACTATTGATAATTTCAGTCTAATACTATTTTGCTTGGCTTTTAGATTCTAATGCTTTATAAAGATTAACCTAGATACAATGTAGAGTTTATTTAACCTTCAAGGTTAACATTCTGTTTTAGATTTTAACTACCTGCACTTACAGGAAAACAAACTGGAGACAACCATACATTTGAAATAAACTAACTTCAAGAATAATGGTCTCTGGGCTGGGGATGTGCCTCAAGCGGTAGCGCGCCTGGCATGCGTGCGGCCCGGGTTTGATCCTCAGCACCACATACAAACAAAGATGTTGTGTCCGCCAAAAACTAAAAAAAATAAATATTGAAAAAATTCTCTCTCTCTCTCTTAAAAAAAAATAAATAAAAAATAATGGTCTCTTGGTTTTTGACACAGACCATATCAACTGATTGTATAAAATCAATAACTTTTCTATTTGAAAAGTAGTTGATGCCACAGGATTTTATCCATTTGCCGAACTGTACATGTATTATTTCCCACCTTAGATAAAGGTGGCCAATATTCAACACTACCATTACTGTCTCAAATGAGAGAAGAAAACAGTATCAGTGCCAAAATGAAAGGAACTCCAGTGATTCAACAAGAGACCATGCCAGGGTAGGCAATGTGAGATTTGGTTTCTTCAACTTTATACTGAGGCTTAGACAGTCTTGAAACCAAAAATTAATACATCAAGTGTTGTTTTTCATTTATAGCAAAGCTTTTAGAAACAAAAGAATCCCGTGTTCAGATTTATATCAGATTGTAGATGCTCCAGGGCAGATCTGTCCCAATGCAGTGGTTTAATTAGTTAAAAGAATGCTCAGTTACCTAAAAGAAGGTATGACTGAATAAATGTCCTTGCTGACCTCTACCATATGATTGCATGACTAATTTAAGTCTAAGAGTTACAGGGCACTGGAGAGAGCTCAGACATACTTCAGCAGCTTTGGATTGCTTAATTTCAATTATGATTAATCAGTAATTTTAGACCCTCCAAAATGATGCCTTCAAAAAAAGTTGTATAACATTACAAAAAAAAAAAATTAGTAAGATCTCATTAGAGGGAGGGACAGGGGAAAAAGATGAGGGAAGGTTCGTTTATTTTTCATCACTAATTTCACCAGCAAATCTCAAAAACCCAAACCTCTATCAAATAATTTAAACAGAAGTGGCATTTTCTTCAAATGGAATGCAAAATGCACACATTCACATACTTACATATACATAAATATATACATATATGTTTCCTTTACAAAGCTTCAAAGGTTGCATTACCAGCATGCAAACCTCTTTTTTCATGGAAATGCCTAATACTGACAAGGAATGTCTAAAATACTTAGAGACATATTCCAAAAAACTGGACTCTTTTCTTCTTGGCTCTTAGGGAATTTTCCTGCCAAACTTCTACCAATGATCATTAAAAAAAAAAAAAAAAAAAAAAAAAAAAAAAAAAAAGTCTACACCCACATTGGTAATATACATTTAAAACTTACTAACAAAATGGCCAGCTTGGATTAAGAAAAATGAGGAAAAAAAATCCCACAATAAAATCTAAACCCTTAGAAGGTGGAGTTTAGCTTTTTGTATTCTTTTTCAGCCACATAATGTTGCATCACTGTTAAATCAGAAGCAGCATATCATCCAAGATATCTGTAAATAATATATCACGTTTCCCAGCTGCTATCTTTAAATGCAATTTGTACTAATCTGAGTTCTAGTTCAAAAGCATCTGGACGATCCTGAGGGTTTGCGGCCAGCATTTCCTTAATCAGTTGTTTCATTCGCCCATTCATAGACTTTTTCTTCACAGGAATTAGAAGTTCCATTTTGGGATTTTCCAAAAGTGCCTCCCCAACCGGCACAATTTCAGTTCCTTGTTTTACATAACTCCCCAAGAGTTCCTTCTTTGTCTCTGTGTCTATGAATGTGATCCTTTCCAGCATCGCCCAGATAATAATCCCCAGAGCAAAGATGTCAGCTTTCGCTGTGTAGTGTCCTTCCCATACTTCAGGAGCCATGTAGAAATCCGTTCCACATGCCGTGGAAAGGAAACACTTGTTTACGCTGACAGGTTCTTCTGGGTTTTGCCCAGAGGCCGAACAAACTTTACTTAGGCCAAAATCAGCCACTTTCAATGTGGGTTCTAAGTCACTAGTATCCAACCTGCTTTGAGAAATCAGGATGTTGTCCGGCTTCAGATCTCGGTGGATGATCTGGTTTTTATGCAAGAAAGCCAGGGCACTGCTCAGTTGAAGCATGAAGCTGGTGTTAGTTTTCCGATTGGGTTTTCTGGACAACAGATACTCATTCATATCTCCTCCGTCACAAAAATCCATCACAAACCACAAATAATAGGCGCTTCTGGGATCAAAGGCAATTTCTCCTTTTAAGGAAGTCTCTACAAGCTATAAAGGGGAAAAATAGATTACAATAATTTAACAGGTTATACAACTTAATTATAGGAAAAGAATAATTGATTCCAAGAATAAGTCTCTAGTTTTTGTTTTTGCAGTGCTGAGTATTGAATCCAGGGCCTAATGCACGCCAGGCAAGTGTTCTACCACTGGGCTGCACCTCCAGGTCTTCAAGTCTCCAGTTTTAAGTGGAAATTCCATGATTATCTATCTATCTATCTATCTATCTATCTATCTATCTATGTATCTATCCATCTATCTTTGTGATACTAGGGATTGAACTCAGGGGCACTCTACCTCTGAGCTACACCCCATCCTTTTTTTAAATTTTGAAACAGTGTCTTGCTAAATTGCTCAGGAAGACCTCAAACTTTTAATCCTTATGCCTCAGACTCTTGAGTAGCTGGGATTATAGGTGTGAGACACCTTGCCTGTTAGGAATATTTTATTTGGTCAGTGCTTTCATATGTATTTTAAACTTGGATACTTTATATATAAATTATCCCTTTGTCCCTAACAAATATATATTAAATCTCCAAGCCAAGAGACAAAACTTCCATTTTACGCATAGCTTTATTTTGAGAAGTGTACAATTGGCCTACATTTTCTGGATATATCAATGGAGCTAAACTCTACCCATCACCTAGCTCATCATTTTATGAAAAGACTATAGTGCTTTAAAAACATTTGTTGTATGGTATCCTTTTCAGACTTATAGTTTTAAGAAAAAATATGAAAAGACTTGTTGAGGAATAAGTTGACAACTTTCCATTTAAATCTACTGGTACTCCTTGTCATTTTGGCCAGCAGGAGCACAGAATACCCCTCCACACCATCTTCCCTCAGGGCCAACCCCAGCAACAATTGCATTGGTCTGCAGATGTCTCTTTGCACTTGTTTTCCGTGTTGCATAGGTTTGCCAGTGAGACTCAGAAAATAAACGAACAGAAAGATACAGATCACACTATTATTTACCAGATGGTTTCCTAAATAGTTTTGAACAATGCAGAGTCCTAGTAGTCAAATGGTTTAGAGAAAGGCCAGACAGTAAATATTTTAGACTTGGAAAGTGTCATGAATTCTCTTCTTCCTTTCCTGTCCTTTTTTATTCTCAAGTTTTAAAAAATGTAAAAACTATTTTTAGTATCCAGGCTATAAGAAAATAGTGCTGGGCCTCTCTAGTTTACTGTGCCTGACCTACTTATTTTCATGAGGTGGGGAATAGTAGCCACTGGTTCTCTTGCCTAAAGTCCTTCAATGGCTTCCTTGTTCTTTTAAAAAATAGTCTACGCTTTTTTTTTTTTTTTAAATATTTATTTTTTAGTTCTTGGCGGACACAACATCTTTGTTGTTATGTGGTGCTGAGGATCGAACCCGGGTTGCACGCATGCCAGGCGAGCGCGCTACCGCTTGAGCCACATCCCCAGCCCTAGTCTATGCTTTTTAACAGGGCTATGGGACATTATATGCTCTGACTTCTGCTGACCCTTTTAGCCTCATCTCAAAACAGTTCGCTTTGTACACTACAGAATTACTATCTTCTTTCAGTTCTTTTAAATGCTTCATGCTTTTGGCTTTAATACCTTTGTATGTAGTTTTTTCTGCCTGTGAAATTTTTCTAATCACTAGTCTAGTTAATGACTATTGACTCTATGAAATTTTTTTTTTAACTTCATCTGCTTGCTTTATTTATTTATTTATAGAGAGAGTGAGAGAGGAGAGAGAGAGAGAGAGAGAGAGAGAGAGAGAGAGAGAGAATTTTTTTTAATATTTATTTTTTAGTTTTCGGCGGACACAACATCTTTGTTGGTATGTGATGCTGAGGATCGAACCCGGGCGGCACGCATGCCAGGCGAGAACTAAGAAAAAATAAATAAATGTTAAAATTCTCTCTCTCTCTCTGTCCCTCTCTCTCACTCTCTCTTTAAAAAAAAAAAAAAAAAAAGTTGGTGAGGACGGCCTTGAATTTTCCATCTTTCTGCCACAGCCTCTTGAGTTACTAGGATTCCAGGTGTATGCCACCATGCCCAGTTCATCTCTAATTTTGACAACTCCCATGGAAGGTAAAAATTATTACAACCATTTTACATATGAAGAAACAGATGTTTGGAAAAGTTGGGTTATTTGTCCAAGGTCATTCTGATAGTAAAAAGTGTCAAAAGATCTATCAATCTTTAAAAAAAGAAAGAGTCTGGGCATGTTGGCATATGCCTATGATCTCAGTAACTTGGGAAGCTGAGGCAGGATTACAAGTTCAAAGCTAGTCTCAGCAACTTGGTGAGGCCCTAAGCAACTTAATGAGATCCAGACTCAAAAAAAAAGAAAGAAAGAAAAGAAAAGATAAAGGGCTGGGGGTATTGCTCAGTGGTTTAATCTAGAGTACTCCCCCCAAAAAAGAAAAGACATTTCTAAACAAAAAGGCAATTTAGATTAAAAAAGTCACTGAATTAAGTTTGGTAGTTACTTTACATCTTAAAACCTTGATGCCTAGTTAGGATAATGGTTGCTGGATCTAGATTCAGCACTAATGCAAATGTTTAAATGTTTTTGCTTTTCCATCCAAAAGAGATTATTTTCTTTTAGTTTCTAAAACTCAAAGTTCAGCAAAGTTCTATCCACTTTTAAGAGGAAATGTGGTTTTCCTGGTATTTGTGAAGCCCTAAATTCAATCCCCAATATCACACACATACAAAAAGGGAATGTGCTAAGAATGCTTCTAATATTTTTTATCAGTGCAACTTACATAATAAGCACTTTTAGAAAAGTAAACAATAGAGGCCAAACAGTTGTGTTAATTCATTGTGCTGAGAAAACTTCAGTGTATAAAGTGCTAAGTTGCGATATAAATTCTTCAGAATATTTTGTCCACCATACAATATTTGCAAGTTTCTAATTACACATATCAGTTTGTTTTCTTTGTCATTCCTATTCAAAAGGCTTTTGTGGTTTTAAACACACTTTAATTTTTTATTTTTAAAGTCATATTTTTTTTGTTTTTTATTGGTACATTATAATTACACATAATAGTAGAATTCATTGTTACATATTTGTACATGCTCATTATATAACAATATAATTTAGTTAATATAATTCCCCAATATTAAACACACTTTTAAATGTTAAAAGCCCAATGGTCAATTCTGAATGTAGATACACTCAAGGAAAGCTGTTTCCTTTTCTAAGGGACTGGCCTTAAGAAATTCTGCTCTGGTCCTTGCCTAACTAACTAGGTCTTAACTATCTTTTCTATTCAGTGATTAGAGAGCTCTAAGAGATTTTGACCTTATTTTATTTTTTTAGATGTATGGACCTTTATTTTATTCATTTATTTATATGTGGTGCTGAGAATCAAACCCAGTGCCTCACACATGCTAGGCAAGCGCTCTACCACTAAGCCACAGCCTCAGCCCCAGGATTTTGACTTTAGAAGAAGTCAACCTTTAAAAAAAAAAAAAAAAGCTTTTCCATTTTACTATGCTACAAAAGAGTAATCTGGAAGTTAAGAGAGCATAAAGCTTTAGTTATCAAGACACAGTGGTGCACACTTGTAATCCCGGCAACTCCAGAGACCGAGGCAGGAGAATTGTAAGTTCGTGACCAGCCTCAGCAATTTCACAAGGTCCTAAGCAATTTAGCCTGCCTTAAAATAAAAAAATAAAAAGGGCTGGGGATGTGGCTCAGTGGTTAAATGCCCCTGGTTTCAATCTCTGATATGGAAAAAAATTAAAAATAAAAAAGTCTGCTAAATTCAGCTCCCAATCTGACACTAGCTAGGTAGATGTCAGTTGATAAGTTCATTATTCTAAACTTCAATGTCTTCATTTGTAATGAAGATAATGTTACCTTATAGGATTTTTTTTTAAATGTTCATTTTTTAGTTGTAGATGGACCCAATATGTTCATTTTATTTGTTTATTTTTATGTGGCGCTGAGGATCGAACCCAGGGCCTCGCACATTCGAGGCAAGCGCTCAAACGCTGAGCCGTAACTCCAACCCCCCTTATAGGACTGTTTTGAGCAACTTTCCTTAAAGCACTTAGCACACAGTATTAAACCAAGGAGGGACATTTGTTGATACCGGCACTGTTAATAACATTCATAAAAATTAATTGGAATTGCATGGGTAAGAAACCACAATACCCTCCAAAATAGCAAAGGGTTATATTTACACACATGATTTATAACAGAGATGTCTAGTTACCTATGGGTATCGCTATCAGTTAAGGGAGTTTTCCCTTTTTTTCAGTTTTTAGTTCCAAAAAAATTTATTTCAAAGAAGTGAACTTATTAAAATATAGTCTCAAGCATTTCTCCAGTTTCTATCTTGCCCCATTCCTATGCAGACTGGCAAGTACCATGGCCTAACAGGTGGCTTATGTTATTTTTAGGTATATGCATCACAAGTTTAAATAAAACCCTGTTTTAAAGCAAACACCTATTCTATTCTTGGCAGATCTCTATCTACTCCTAACTATAAAACATCTGCATTTAACAGGAAAAGTTCATCAGACCCTTTCATTCCTCTTCTTGCTGACCAATGTCACGTTCACATCTTTTCTATTTCCCATCCAAAAATACATACCTGTAAATAAAGGGAAGAATTAGAGCCATGGGACATCTTTTGCACCATCCCATCTTTCTGTAGGATGCATTCTTCCAGGTGAATCACATTTGGATGTTGGCTCTTGATACTGCTTAGTGCCCAGAATTCACGAAGTGCTAGTTCAACATTTTCAGGTGCGTGGCATCGGATTTTCTTCACTGCCACCCGTGCAGAGGTCTTTCTGATGACTGCTTCATACACAACACCGTAACTACCTCGGCCTACCTCCCGTATTAGATCGTACTTTGGCTGGCTACTCACCATCTTCAAGGTCGAGGTTTCTGGAAAAATCAATAAAGTGCTCAATTTAAATTAGGTACACCCACTGGTTGTGTTTATTCTTGTACAGAGGGATTCAGTTATCATCTGGTTCATTACCTGTAGTGCTTAAGGATATTTTCTATACCTTGGGCAAATCTAACTCTAATAATAGAGCTACCATTTAGGTAGCACTTACCACATATTAGGGACTGTTTCAAACACATTACAATATTATATTCATTTAATCCCCACATAATGGTCATTTTAGAAGTGAAGAAATTAAAGCCGAGAGAGGTTAAATAAAATGCCCAAAGTCAAACAGTGAGTAACTGGTGAACCTGGGATTTGAAATCAGGCCATCTGGCTCAGACATCCATTATTTTGACCACTAAGCTATACTGCTTCTTCAATGAGTACTTGAAAATGTGACTGTTAAAAATAAACCCCCAAATTCAGCATTTTACTGATCATGAACAAACAAACAGGGAGGCAAAATCTCAGTCTGTCCTTAAGACTAACCCAACATACAAGATCACAAAACAGCAAAAACAGAAAACCCTCACAGTTAGAAATAAAAACACCAGGCTTATGTTTTAGGACTGAAAGTGAACCAGATCATTTTACAGAACTAATATTGTTGTTTTTATTATTAGACATAAACAGCCAAACCATGTGTTTATTTTTATTTGTTTCTTTAAGGGTTATTCCCTTATTTCCTGCAAAATAAATGAAAATAAGGTTCGGGGAAAAGAGCTGTTTTTTTTTTTTTTTTTTAAATAAAGCTACTTAGAATATGACTACCTTTTTGTTATTGTTAACAATAGTTATTTAGTTCTAGTTTTTTTTTTTTTTTTTTGCAAAAACAAAAAAACTATCCTACAACATCAAGAGGAACTCTCTGACAAAGTTCTTTAGAATTCAACTTGATAAATCCTTTAAAAGTAGGAGGAAAGGCCCTACAACACACATGCTCATGTTTTGAATAGAAAAAGTTCAAAGTGTACCTCCTCACCCCCCAAATTCTCACTTGGAGGTTGTCACCATGCGCAAAGAAGGTAACCTGAGATTGTACAATATTTATCTCATACAACTAGGGAAACAAAAATCGACTGCTGTAGAACCTGAGAAATAGGAAACAGCTACTCTATGTCTACAGGGCAGATTCAGTAAAAAAAACCGACTGCTTCTCAGACTGCTTTAAGTCCCACTTCCTCGAATTGGTCACCTACCCTTCAAATTCCCACTATTTCCTAGTGTCTGCTTTCCTGCCAGAGAATCAGAGGCGGCAGGCGGTCTGCTCTGCGCGGCCGCCAACTGTTCTGCATCTCCAGGTGGCTCGCTTCTCCGAAGCAGTCCCCCCCCCTCCCGCCGGGTGCGAGGACCCCCGTGGGAAAGAGCACCTTCCTGAATAGGGAACAAGGAAGGTGGCTTTGAAATCCTCGCAWCCCTGGATCAAGACACCGCGGTGGTGCACGCCGTGCTAATCGAGATGACTTACGCTGGCATCTCCCGGGCCCTCCAGTCTGCTGTGCTCACCCAGCGCTGGACGCCGGCCGGCCGGGCCATACACCTGCTGGGGCGGGGGAGGGCCAGCTGCGGCCAGAGGTGCTGCCCGACACGGCGGCTCAAGCCACGATCCTCGCTAAGTATCTGGCCTTCCCCTCGGCGGCCGCGACCCGGGGAGACCCTACGGGGGTCCTCCCGGGGCCCTTCACCCCAGGAGCCGATCCCGCGGCGGCCTTCACTCCTTGGGGCTGCGGGTGGAGCGCCGGGGCCCGGGGAGTGGCCCTGGCGTGAGAGGAGGCCGCAGCTGGGGACGGTGGCCTGAAGCGCGGGCCCTGCCCGCGATGACTCGCTGACAGGTCTGTGACAGGCCTGCAGGGAGGAGAGGCGCCTGCGGGGTCGGTGGCTCTGCGGCAGGACCTCCGTGCCACGCCGACGCGCCTGCTTTACCTCAGGGTAGCCGCCGCTGCTGCTCCCTCTCATGGGCTCTGCAGGCCGCCATTATCGGGCAGCTCGCGCCTCCGCCGCCGCCGTCTCCAGTCAGAGGCCGGCGCGCGCCCCCGTGGTGCGCGCAGACACACCCCCTCACGCCGGCGGCCCCGCCTCCCTCCGGCTTTCCGTAGAGCGCCTCTCCGCCGAGCGCCGCCTACTGGGCGCGCGCCCGGGACTCCGCTCTCCGCTCCCGGATCCTGGGGCTGTGGGGAGCCCGGAGTCGCCGGAGGTGTGCGCGCTCCGGAGCGCACCACTGGCGCCCCTCCCCGCAGGGGTGGTCAGCCCGGGAGACCGCTTCACGCCCGGGCTCTGTCGCCCCATATCCGCGGCGGGCGCGCACAGCCTGCGGCCCTGAGAAGGGTCTTCGGCGGCAGGTGGCGGCCTAGCGGTGCGCGCGCCCGGCCGCGGCCTGCCCGCCCCTTTCCGACCTACCGAGCTTCGGGCTGGCGTGCGGGGGTCGCTGGGGCGACACGCCTGGTGCATCTTCCTCCGCGCCGGCCCGGGGCACCTTCGGAACGCGGAGCTTTGCGGCGGTCGCGGGGAGGCGAGGCCTGAGCTGGGAGGCCTGGCGTGCGCCCCGCCGGGAGGGAGGCTGCACCTTTTGTCCGAGTCACTGAGCCATGTTTGCGGGCGGCGTTGTGGCCGAGGCGGCGGCGCGGGGCTGGGTGCGATCATCTGGGAAGACGCCGTCCCCTGCTCCGCCGGCGCGGTGGTATCTCCCTTAAAGAAGCCCGCGCCTCATTGTTCCTCGGCCGCTGGGAGTCGGGGCGCCCTACCGGGCGGCGGGAGGGAGGGCGCGGAGGCGCCCGCACCTGGCTGCAGCGTCCGCGACGCCTGGCCTGGCGAGTCGGAATCCAGCTGGGACGGCGCGCCGGAAGGAGCCACGGTCTGAGCCCGGCCAGGCCGGGATTGACAGCCAGGACGGCTGTCCTGGGGGCGAGCACTCAGTGGGCGCTTTGGCCGCCGGAGTCCTTCGGCTACCCCACATCTGTCAATCAGATCCCGGCATGCATCGGCCTGACTGCCAGCCCCGGCTGACGGTCGTTCAGAGACCTGGACCAATCGGCCATCCAGTTAGTTACACAGATCAGTAAGCCTGAGAAATGTCCACTGCTTCCCCTATTCTCCTGCACCTAGGGTTTGTGAGGAAGGTGGGGGTTCTTGCTCCAGTACTGTCTAAGGCATAATGGACAGAAGAATTCCTGTCTCAGCTCTCAGGATCGACCATTTTATTTCTTGTCTTCCAAATATGGCCTTCTGAGTCTGAGACCAGGTTACGTTTTTATGTAAATGATCTCTCTCAAGATAACCAAACCTCACAAGAGGGAGGCTTTATTACTAACCCTATTTTTACAGAGAAGGAAGCCAACCTCTGCCTCATTTGACCAAAAGGAGTCAGTTTTGAACACCAGATTCCCTGGTGTTACAACTCTCCCTGCCACCAAAAACAAAAAACAAAAAACCAGCAGCAACAACAGCAACAAAAAACACAGATGGTAATCTGTTCCGATTTTTGTACTCAGTGCCATTTTTATACCTGTCTTCATCTGTTTGCTGGAAATACTGACACCAGCCAAAACTTGTTTCCTGTCCTGGAAAGTAGGGGAGATTATGGATGGCTCTGTAGACAGCTGGTTAGATACCAGTGTGGCTTATTGATGGGTCAGATTGCTTGGTCCAAGTGACCTTTTCCTTTTGTCTGTCTCAGTCATTAAATATAGGAGCCCCTCCTCTCAAGCTCTCTCAAGCTGGCTGCAGAACAAATTTGAAATCCCTTCCCCCACTAGATAGGCTGACTCTAGATGAGGTGAATTTAAGTGTTGCTTAGCCTGAAACTTAAATAATTGGGGGGGGTCCTCTTTAGGAAAAAGATGACAAAGTGACTCAGAACACATTGTTGGGACATTTGAAAGGGTCCCCGCAAGTGAGGTCTCTGAAGCTTAAGTTTTACTAGCTTCAGGGTAAATCTGTCCCTGCTTATTATGGTATATCATTATTTTGTTATTTGTTTGCTTTCCTCTAAACAAGAATTCCTGAGAACAAGACCTTTGTCTGTGATTCATCTCTGCAGCCTCCTCAATTTGATATGGTATAAAAATACACCTGAGGCCAGCATCTCATACCTTGCTGATGGGAAGGCAAAATGATAGATTTTCTCAAAGAAATTTGGCAAGATATAGCCATATTACATATGTATTTACCCTTTGACCCAGTAGGTCAGATCTTAGACTTCTTGAAACTTATCCTAGCAATATAGGCTAAAATAGAGCAACACTATGTGCATTAATGCTCACATTTCTGGTACTAAAGAACTGGTTGAATACAATACATACAGAGTGGAGTATTATGTGGCCATAAAAAGATATGGGGAAGATTTATATACTGATCACCATATTTATATGGTATGATCTCCAAATATGTTGTTAGATGAATAAGCAAGATGTATATTAATTAGTGCTTATTTTGTGCTTGATATCTTCTGTGTGCGTATTGGGGAGAGAAAAATATATTAATTACTCATATTTAAAAGACAAACAATGGAATAAATCCCAGATTTCTAAAATGGTTGCCTAAGAGCAGATTGGGGATAAGGATGCAAATGAGACTTCTGTGAACGCACCTTAGTTATTATTCTGGAGACTTATAAATGTTTTGCATATTTGTAAAATAGTTAAAAAAAAAGCATGAAAATTAAAAACACCTGAAAATGAATCATCTATCTTTCAGATTGGTGGCATAGCCACTTTAAGAACATTATTTCATATGGCTTTAGAAGTATTTTGACTATACCACCCTAATGAGATATAGTCCAAGAACAATTAAAACAGCATAGAAATACAATTATATTCGTAAGTTTTATTGTTAGTTGTAATATTGATATTGCTATTTTGAAATTGATACTGTGAGATAAAGTAAATAAGTGATGATGTTAATAGCATTGGGAACCAAGATTTTTTCAATATATGAGAAAAAGTTTTAAGTATAAAAGAAGCTTAAGGTAAACATCTGAATTAGGTAGCAGTAAAAAATATGCATTTTTCTCTTAAGAAATGTGTTTTTCAGCTCTCCTGAAAAGGCCCACAAACAATGACCAACTCAGTAGTGATGAACAGAATACTCTTCAAGCACAGATTTGTCTCTAAGATCCATTTTCTAGGTTTTTTCTTTTTTTTGTAGTTGTAGATGGACAGTATGCTTTTACTTTATTTGTTTATTTTTAGGTGGTGCTAAGKATGGAACTCAGTGCCTCATGCATGCTAGACAAGTGCTCTGCTGCTGAGCTACAGCCCCAGCCCTCCATTTTCTAGTTTTAAAAAATTAAAATAAAGTCTTGGTAATTGTCAGACTCCAAATCTGGAGCAGGAAAGATAAATTTGGGTCATCTTATGCCTGGAAGCCAGGAAACTATTAAAGACGGGGTACATGCCAAAGAACCAATCTAAGGGGGCCCCACTGAGCAAAGATGGAACAATTAAGCACTAAGAGAAAAAGAATTGCTTCATTAGATTTTAACACATAAAACTTGTAAAAATCCATGAACTTATAATTACACATAAGAAAAGCAACTCATTCGTTACCACCAGCATAAGGAGAAATAGTTATTTTTCTGTTTTTTTATGTATTGTATTCCAGGTAAGGAAATAGTAAGTAAGAAAAGGTTACTTTCTGTAGAAGAATTCCAACTAATGAACACAGAAGAAATGATAGTTCCATAAAAGCAGTTTTTCAAATGGTGATGAAATAATGAGTCCGGGCAATGAACATTAAATGATGCTAAAACAATTGGGTGAAAGTTTTTTTTTTTTTTTTTTTTTTGGTAACTTTGTAATGAATGCAGAGTTTAGGCTAACATTTGTCTGAATGCACTGACCAATTTTTAAATCACTTAGATGGGGACACAGTTGTCTCCACATGAAGTATTCTTGCCTTAAAAATGAAAGAATCTAAGCCTATCAAGCCAAAATCTGATGACCGATTCAGCAGAATTATAGGGGATAGACAAGGACCACAATCAGGCAAACTCAAAATGTGGGACCTTCTGTATGACAGGTCTCCTGGCTTCTCCAACACAATCATGGCTTTAAATTACAAAGGGAGAATAGAGTGTTAAAACCTAAAGCTCAACAGACTTGCCAAATGCCGTAATATCATTTAGATCTGGATTCTAGTGAACTGACAGTCAAAAAACATCTTTGGTACAATTTGGAAATTTGAACTGAACTTAATTTGTAGATTAAATTCATGGTGCTTGTGGAATGAGTCTTTTCCAACTGGAGCAGCCCACTGATGCACAATGGGTGGAATGAAATGGGATGGCCTGGGATGTACTCAAGCAGCACAGCAAAGAAGAAGATTGGCAAAAGAGTGATGATCCTTGTTAAAACGCAGTTATGGGTACATGAGGTTCGTTATACCACTCAATTTTTGTGTGTGAATTTTTTCTAAAAGAAAAAAGACAGAGGCTGGAGATCTAGCTTAGTTGGTAGAGTGCTTGCCTCACATGCACAAGGCCCTGAGTTTAATCCCCAGTACCACAGAGAAAAAAAAAAAAAGGAAGAAAGAAAGAAAAGAAAATGTTCAAAACATGAAATGCCTGCTTTGGCCAGGTAGGAATTTAGATGTAGCACTCCTGCCCTCTTGTGGCAGGTTTCATTAGTGCTGTTACTGCCCCTGCCTTTCTAAAACAGGTCTGAATTCCAGGTATGGTCAAGTCCTTTCTTTGTCTTACCAGAGCCCAAGGAGTGAATAATACTAGGATAGCGTTTTTATAGCTGAAGAAACAGAAACTCAGGAGGAGTGAATAACTGAGGTTACTAAAAAGTCACTGCCAGAGTTAAACTCCTCGAGCCTTTGGGCTGATTCCAGGTTCCAAGCCCCATAAATCACTGTGATTTTGAACATTATTTTTTCTGTCCACAAAACAGATCACATGGTCAAATGGAAACGCCCCCAGTTAGAGTGCATCCACAGGAAGCAGGTTATCAAGGAGCCATTTCACATATAAACTGTAGATAAATTAATAGAAGTAGGTAATATAAATAAAAGTTAATATTCAGAGATGGTCACCTCCAGCTTGGTATGCATGTGTAGCCAGTGGAGATGGTTCCCTTTGTCATCTCCTTTAAGGTGACACCCTCTTCTGATGTGTCCTTGAGAGAGTCTAGAGCAAGGGTAAAGGCTTGTGGGCCTGGATGCCCTTGACCTGCACACAGAATCTTCTCTCTGGGTGTCCCCTGATTGGTCACCTGTATAAGGCTCACCTCCTGTCCTGCAAAGAGAATGGCCAGTAGAACAAGAAGAGGGCCATGTTCAGAGTATATAACATCAGGATCCTGGGAAACTTTGTTTTTCAAAATTTTAAATTCTTTTTAGATATACATGACAGTAGAGTGTATTTTGATATACATACATGGAGTAAAACTTATTCTAATTAGGATCCTACTCTCGTGGTTGTACATGGTGTGGGGTTACACTGGTGGTGTATTCAAAACTTTCATTCTACTATCTTTCCCATTCCTACCTCCCTTCCCTTCCTTCATTCCTCTTTATCTAATCCAATAAACTTCTACCCACCCCTCAATTGTGAGTTAGTATTTTCATGTCAGAGAGAACATCCAGCCTTTGGAGATTTTTGGATTGGTTTATTTCACTTAGCATGATAGTCTCCAGTTTCATCCATTTACTAGCAAATGCCATAATTCCATTCTTCTTTAAGGTTGAGTAATATTCCATTGTGTATAAATACCACATTTTCTTTATCCTTTAATCTGTTGAAGGGCACCTAGGTTGGTTCCATAACTTGGCTATTGTGAATTGCGCTGCTATAAACATTGATGTGGTTGCATCAATCACAGTAGTATACTGATTTTTTAAAAATTTTCTTTCTTTTTCTTTTTTTCTTTAAAGAGAGAGGAGAGAGAGAGAGAATTTTTTAATATTTATTTTTTAGTTATCTGCGGACACAACGTCTTTGTTTGTATGTGGTGCGGAGGATCGAACCCGGGCTGCACGCATGCCAGGCGAGCACGCTACCGCTTGAGCCACATCCCCAGCCCTCTTTTTCTTTGGTACTGGATTGAACCCAGGGGCACTTAACCACTGAGCCACATCCCCAGCCCTTTCTTATGTTTTATTTAGATATGTGTCTTGCTGAGTTGCTTAGTGCCTCACTGAGTTGCTGAGACTGACTTTGAGCTCCCAATCTTCCTGCCTCAGCCTCCTAAGCCACTGGGATTATAAGCGTGCATCACTGCAACTGGCTATAGAATGCTGATTTTAAGTCCTTTGGGTATATACCAAGGAGTGGGATAACTGGGTCCAGTGGTGGTACCAGTCCAAGTTTTCTGAGGAATCTCAATGCTTTTCAGAGTGGTTGCACCAAGATCCTGGGAAACTTTGGAAATGCACCCCCCAAAACTAATCAAAGCTCCCATGTGGCTTTGAGGCTCAAAGGGAAATGGATTGCAGCCTTATATCCGGAAGAAGAAAATGATTGGAAATCGAATGTTCACTGATGACTTGCCCAGCCTTACCCAACGGACCAGCTACCTCTATAAACCCCTTAACCCACATGAGTAGTATCTTTAGAACAGAAAGCTGGGAACCGTGGAAGAGGCACATCAGTCACCTTGGAGGGGAACGAACTTTTCCCTATGAGGAAAGTGCTTTGTATGCTCTCTCTAATAAAATGAGGCTTCTTTGGAGTCTGCAAAAAAATACAGTTAATATTCGTATTTCTTCCTGTACCAGGCTCTGCGCAAAGTGCTGTCAGTTCTCAATCTCAGGGAACTTGCACAGCTGTGAGGCATGAACCGCTTGCCTTCTGACGCCAAGGAAACTCGGGTTCTGAGACAGAGGACTCGACCAGAGTTACATTGCTGGAGAACGTCAGGACTTGAACTCAGGTCTGATGATGATACCTATGTGGCACAATGATTTTGTTTTCGAGAGGGGATCTTGCTCTGTGGCCCAGGCTGGACTTTGAACTCCTGAGCTCAAGGGAACCTCCCACCTCAGTCTCCTGAGTAACTGGGGCCTGTACAGGTGCATTCCCTGGCTCCTGGTTCCATGCGGTGTGTTTGTGTCTGTCTGTCTGTTTAGAGGAGGCAAAGTTTATTTGGGGTTGCCGGTTTCAGAAGCCTCCATCGGTTGGGGCCTGACTCCATTCCTTGGGGCCTGAAGTGAGATAGAACATCATGGTGGGAGTACGCGGTGGAGGAAAGCGGCTCAGGACCCGGCAATCAGGAAGCAGAGAGGTACGCTTTTTAAAGCTTTATTTTTAGAGCATTTTGTGGAAATTACAGAGTTCCCATATCCCCCTGTCCCCAAGGTACATCATAGTTCCCACTCCCACCAGACTGCTAACTGCTCTGTAGAAATTTGGAGRTAATCATTGCTTTGTGAGGGACCTAGTCCCCTCACAGCCCTTCAGGAGGTGTTGACAAAATGCCACAATAAAATCATTAAGGATGAGTGGCCAGGCCTCCCAGCGAGTGAGGGGGGAGCAGCTCCTGGATGCAGGAAGAAGCCTCCTCAATGTCCCCCTCTCTCTTGCCCAGGCCAGGGAGCCCCAGGCCCATCTTTGCAGCCCCATCTGCAAAATGAGAGGGTCCGACTAGCTCATCCCTAGGGATTTTTCCAGCTCTGGTGTTTGAGTCTTCAGTCTGCCCCCTCCACTGTGCTTAGATCCAAAAGTCTGAAACGTCTGTTTCTGATGCGGCCCTCAGACAAGTGATGCAGAGGCCCAAGATGGTCGTGTGCTAGATTTAATTTTAGCTTTGGGAGGGTCCTGGTGGTCTCCTCAGTGAAGACCGAGAACAGCTGGAGCAGCTGATTATGGCCTACACCCTCTGATGGAGGCTCGAGAGTTTCTGGGGGCATCCCCACCTGAAAACCATGGTGATGAAGGGTTAAAGGCTTCAAGGAAGGGTCCCCAGGGCATCTCAAACGGAGGAGTCAGTCAACTCCTCAGCAGGTTCTGAGAAGCTTGGGCTTCCTCTGTCTTCTCTGGATGCTTCTGTCACAAGGACAGGAACTCAACTCCAGTTGACTTTAATGGAATGCTTGGTACCTGTGCCAGAGCAGAATGGAGATGGGAGGGCTAGCTTCAGGAAGGGTTTAATTCAGTGGCTCATAGGTCACCAGAGTCGGTTTCCTCTCTTCCACCTCCCATGAAGTTCACCTCCTCTTATGGCTGGTGTATTAATCAATTTTTCATTATATTAGCAAAATGCCTGAGTCAGGCTTCTTTATAAATAAAAGAGTTTTATTTTGTCTCATGGTTCTGGAGATACAAGGGCATGGCACAGTCTCTGGTGAGGGCCCCCTGGGCTGCAGTACATGGGTATCTCTGTATTTTTCCTTTTATGACTGCTTCCTTCACTTAGCAAAATGTCTTCAAGTTTCATGCATGCTATAGAAGTGTCAGAATTTCATTCCTTTCTAGGTGGAATAATATTTCATTATATGTGCTTACCACATTTGGCTCATCATTCCATCCATTGACTTTTTTTTTTAATATTTATTGTTTAGTTATTGGCAGACACAACATCTTCGTTTGTATGTGGTGCTGAGGATCGAACCTGGGCTGCTCACATGCCAGGCGAGCGCGCTACCGCTTGAGCCACATCCCCAGCCCCATCCATTGACTTTTGTCTATCTGTTCATTCCTCTCCAGATACACCACCCTCCAGGAACTTCAATGTGTTTGGAAGTTTCCAGAACCCTGACCTTTGGATTTTTATGGAGGCTTCATTCATCTAGACTTCAAAAACTCTGCTTTCTAGGGAATACAGACTGAGCTATCAGGAGATTTTCTGATTGTCTTTTGGCTTCCCTGTGCCAGTCTTCGGTTACTGTGGTTTCATTTCCTCAACTGCTGCATTTATCTCTGTATCTCCTGAGCCCGAGACCTGCTTTATGATGGCATCCGACTCCWTGGCTTGGTCATTGTCAGTCTTTGATGAAAGGTGAGGCCCCTCTCAGCGTGCTGCAGAGCAGAGCTCTGACATGGCAAACTGAATCCCAAGCTTCTGTTGTGGTGACTTTGCCCACAGCTGCGTTCGTCCTTCTCAGGCAGTTCAGACTTCTCATGGAGATGCCCTTCTGCACCCTGGGTCATCTGGTGAGTGCTAGAGCTAACCCAGGGCTGGGAAGGGTAGGTGCTGGAGTCTCTGGTTCCACCCTAGACCCAGGGTTTGCTCCTCCCACTGGTACCTCTATTYGCTGCTGGCGGTGCTGCACAAACCTTTAAGAAAGTGTCTGTYACGGTTTTCCAAGAACCGTCTCAACAGTCAGTCCTGCTTCTGAGAGTCTAGCGTTAGGAAATAAAATGTGACACTCAATGTAGCATTATTGATGATGAGAAATTAAAGGCAAAATATGTGCCAACAGTACCGTTGGTCCTCTGTGGCTGCAGGTCCCCTTCCATGGATTCAACCAACTGCAGATGGAAAATATTTGAAAAAGTTCACAAAGCCACGCTCCAAGCGTCACATTGAATCCATGTGACTGCAGCCATGTGTCTGCTGACCATGTGGGAGCCTCCTGCCCGCTCCCAGCCCCGCAGTCTCCCTCCAGCTCCAGGTGTTGAGCATTTCTCCCTTGCTCCTAGATGCTGCGCGCAGTTAGGCCTCCCAGGGCTACATCTGTACAGAATGTGTACAGATCTTTTCCTCGTCTCTGTTCCAATATAACAACTATTGACACATCATTTACTTTGCATTTAGTATTACACATAATGTGGAGATGACGCCAAGTACATGTGAGGATATCGTAGGTTATGTGCAAACACTAGGCCATTTTATCTAAGGGACTTGAGCGTCGGCAGAGTTCGGCATTCTTGGGATCCTGAATCCATCCCCATGGATACCGAGAGGTTATAGAGCCACAGCATCATGTAGCCTTTAAAACATGGGCATTCTCAATGGAGTAGATCTTTTTATTCTTTTTAATATTTTTCTAGTTGTCATCAGATTTTTATTTTGTTTATTTTATGTATGGTGCTGAGAATTGAACCCAGGCCTTACATATGCTAGTCAAACGCTCTACCAGTGAGCCACAACCCAGCCCCAGATCTATTCTTTTTTTTTTTTTTTTTTAAGTAGGGGGTATTGGGGATTGAACTCAGGGGCACCCGACCACCGAGCTGCATCCCCAGCCCTAATTTATATTTTATTTAGAGACAGGGTCTCACTGAGTGCTTAGTGCTTCAATTTTGCTGAGGCTGGCTTTGAACTCACGATCCTCCCGCCTCAGCCTCCCGAGTTGTGCTTGGCCAGATCTGTTTTTGTTTTTTTTTTTTTTTTTGGTGGTGCTGGGGGTTGAACCCAGGGCCATGTGCATGCTAAACAAGCACTCTACTAACTGAGCTGTATCTCTAGCCTACAAATCTGTTCTTAAAGCAAGTTAAATTTGTTCAGGAAAAACTCACCTGTGTTGGTAGAAGCCAGATGGTTACCTGGGAGCAGGGGTGATTATCGACTGGGAAGGTGAAGACACCTTTGGAGCAATGGAAACGTGCGGTATTTGTATCCCAGTGGCAGTTACCTGGGTGGCTGTATGCACCCGACCTCAGCCCTGGTGCTTGTGCGGTCTGTTCTACGTTAGTTAGACCTCCGTGTAAAACAGGAAGTCCTCAACCAGGAATTGATGGCCAGTAGAATGTCGGCTCCTGGAGACAAGGGCCCAGAGCCAGAGCACTGATCTGCACATAGAAGACCCTCAATTAAAACCTGTAGAACGGTGATAGAAAATGCTCCTGGTAAAATATTAAACGAAAGAAAAAAGACCCAAAGTTATACAGCATTTAAGTGTACTGTCAGTTCAATGTTATAAAAACTGATGAGCAGGAGAAAAACACCGGAAGGGAATAGCATGAGGGGGTGGTGGGATTTGTGTGTGTTGGTGCTGGGGATTGAACCCAGGGCTTCATCGTGCAAGGCAAGCCCTCTACCACTGAGCCACGTCCCAGCCCTAAGTGGTGTGGTTATAAGAGATGGTTTTTAGAACTTCTTTGGTGAATATCTGTTTTCGGTTTTGTCCAGGATTCTGTGTGTGACTTCATTTGGAAATAACAGCTAACATTGGTTGAGTGGTTATTCCATGCCCGGCTCTACAGTTACAGAAATGCACTTTATATTTCAGCGTATAGAATTTTGACACCAACCCTTTCGAGTAGATATCCCCGTCTTACAGATGGAGAAACTAAGGCACATAGAAGTTAAGGAAACTGCCAAAGATCTCCCAGCATTAAATGGCAGAACAGGGAGGTGGCCCAACAGCAGTTGTGGCTCCAGAGGACGAGTTAACTACTGTGTCACTGCCCCTCCAAAATGAATGTCAAAAGCCTTAATTTAAGGCCTTTGTGACAGGTGAGGCCCCAGACAAATGTGCTTCTCTGCTCTCCCCTCCCTGTGATTGACCCTGAGTCCTGGGAGACGCCCGGGATAGTGAGGCCCCCCTGAGTTGCTGAGGGATGGAGAAGTGAGCAGGGTGTGGGCGAGCAGAGCGGTTTTCCTGGGCGGGAACAGATGTTCTGACATCTGATGCCCTACTCCAGAAGCCTGGGGAGGGCCCCTCTTCCCGGCTGGCCCTGTCCCTGCCCCCTGGGGTTGTCACAAGACCTGAGCCAACAGGCCAGGTCCTGCTGTCCATCCACAGGAAAGCCAGCTTCCTGGAAGCCACCCTGCCCGCCCCTCCCAGGCAGCCCAGTTCCTGGAAGTTAAAGGAGCTGGCCTCGGTGTGAGGGGTGCGGGGCGCTGGGCCTCAGCACCTTTCTTTGGCTTTTGCTACCTGCAGGAGGGGAGAAGAYGAGGGCTCGATGTTGCTGGCAGATGGGACTTGAGTGTCCTTTTCCAGCTCACCTGGTCAAGTTACCTGACTTCTCAGGAGTCTCAGTTTCCCCATATATAAAATGAGATACTCAAAGATCCTGAAGGGCTAGCCATAGCATTGAGAGCAACTGGGTCTCCACAGCCTGGTACCCTAAAGCACTCAGAAACAAGGTAGCCATGGCGACTATTATTAGACTATCATCATCCTGCTGCCCTCCTCCTCCTGGGGCACAGAGGTGCTGAGAGATGGGCTGGAGGCCCTGGATGTCCTGGCCCAGTTATTAATACCCACGGCCCCTCCAACTTTGGATTTAGCATTCCAATGACGAGGGGCAGAGGCCGGAGGGCAAGGCTGGGAACAGGTGGCAGGGCTGGACAGGAGCCACCGGCCTCCCTCTGGATGGGAGCAGTCCTCCCCAGCCTTAACAGAGACCTGGCTCCTCTCCCAGACACCCTCCACCTGCACTCTAGGGCCCCAGAATGTGTGAAATTCCTGTCTGAAGTCAGGCTGGGGCAGCCATCATCTTAGTCCCCTAAGGACACAGCACTGTCCTTCCAGGGATGGGATGCCCAAGAGAGTAGGATCCGCTGGGCAACAGAGGGGACGAATTCACTCTTGGAATTGTGGACTGTCCAAGTTAGACAGGGCTCAGGGAACCCCAACCTGCCAGAAGTGGTTTTGAACTCGACTTTGGACTCAGACCAGAGTGACCAGAAAACCTGTGTGTCCTCCAGCCTCCATTTGCTGGGCCATTAACCAGGGAGGGTAGTGACTTGGAATGCTCCTGCGTAATGGCACCGCCTTTGTAATGGCACCGCCTTCAGAACACCCTGAGCCCAATCCCCAGTACTGAAAAAAAATAAGTAATATAATTATTTTCATTTGGCTGTTGAAAAAGCAAGTGAGATAACGTAAAGTAGGAAATTAGTGAGCAGTGTCTAGCAAATAGTGGGTGTTGGTATCCAACCTGTCTAGTCACGGGTGACTTCTTTATGTTTCTGCCACATGAGTGGTGGCAGACCTTGAGGAACAGAGCYCTCCCTGGAACTTCCCACTCCGCCACCTGAACTAACGGTTACACAGCACAATGCTTCTTTGTTTTTTTCTTGTATCAGTATTTTAAAAATTAATAGCCCTTAGTTATTTTTAATATTAAACATCGTTTACTGAAGACCCATTATAAAAAGAATACCTTGCCGGGCATGGTCACACTTGCATATAATTACAGTGACTATGGAGGCTGAGGAAGGAGGACTGCAATTGGAGGCTAGACTTAGCAATTTAGCGAGGCTCTAAACAATTTAGGGAGACCCTGTCTCAAAGTGAAAAACAATAAGGGCTGGGTGCAGTGACATACACCTGTAATCCCAGCAGCTCAGGAGACTGAGGCAGGAGAATGGCGAGTTCAAAGCCGGCCTCAGCAACTTAAGGCTCTAAGTAACTCAGGGAGACCCTATCTCTAAATAAAATATAAGAAATGGGTTTTGGGATGTGCCTTAATAGTAGAGCACCCCTGGGTTCAATCCCCAGTACCAAAAATAAATAAATAAATAAAACCCAAACCCCCAAACGACCCTCTGTGCATCATCTCATTAAAACTTCACAACATTCCCATGGCATAGTAATTATCGGTCCACTTTACAGCCAAGGAAAGCAAGCAAAAGAATCCATCTGAACTCCATCACTGCAGTAGGCTCCTCCCTAGAACACGCGGGAACCTAGGTGGGCGTATCACACACTTGCTGTGCAGTGGCCTCCTTTGCTCATGAACCTCCAGCTGGACAGAGCTTGGWAGGGGCACTTCATCTCTGTTCCTGGTGGAGTCTGCCAGGGCAGCTGGGTGGCCGAGGTCTGGAGCCTCCTGAGAGCCCATTCATCCATGTGACCAGTGGTTAGTGCTGGCTGTTGCCTGGAATCTGTGGAATTGTCAGCTAGAATATCTCCCTGTGGCCCCTCTGTGTGACCACCACCTAGGCCTTGGGTCTTAGGTCTTAGCTTATCTGACTTTTTTTCTCCAACCTTCAGACTATTTTTTTTTTAATTTTTTTTGGTAGAGGGGCTTGATCCAGAGGCGCTTTACCACTGAGCCACATCCCCAGCCCTTTTTAAAAATTTTATATAGGATCTTGCTGAGTTGCTTAGGGCTTTGCTAAGTTGCTAAGACTGGCCTGTCTCAGCCTCCTGAGCTGCTGGGATTAGAGGTGCCCAGCTATCTTTTGCATTTTGTTTTTGTTTTTCTTTTTCGAACTGGGGATTGAACCCAGGGTGGCTTAAATACTGAACCACATCCACAGCCTTTTATTTTATTATATTTTTTGGTATCAGGGATTGAACCCAGGAGTGCTCAACCACTGAGCCACATCCGCAGCCCTTTTTTATATTTTATTTAGAGTGAGGTCCTCACTGAATTGCTTAGTGCCTCACTAAGTTACTGAGGCTGGCTTTGAACTTGCAATCCTCCTGTCTCAGGCTCCTAAGCTGCCGGAATTATAGATGTGTGCCATTGTACTCAGCCCCTTTTTATTTTTTWTTTTTATTTTGAGACAGGGTCTCAGTAAGTTGCTTAGTGTCTCATTAAGTTGCCGAGGCTGGCCTTGAATCTGTGATCTTCCTGCCTCGGGCTCTCAAGCTGCTGGGGTTATAGGCATAGGCCACCGTGCCTGGCTATCTTTTGCTTTTATCTTTTTATTTTTATTTTTTTTTAATTTATTTTTTAGTTTTAGGTGGACACAATATCTTTATTTTACATTTATATGGTGCTGAGGATCGAACTCAGTGCCTTGTGCATTCTAGGTGAGCGCTCTACCACTGAGCCACAACCCCAGCCCTGCTTTTTAATTTACCTTTTCCCAGGTTTTAATTTTTTTAGTTTTTTTTTTAATATTTATTTTTTAGTTGTAGTTTTATGTAGTGCTGAGGATTGAACCCAGGGCCTTGCATGTGCTAGGCGAGTGCTCTACCACTGAGCCACCATCCCAGCCCCTAGGTTTTAGTTTTTAAAACAATATTTTAGAATGGCTGCATAATACTCTGTTCCCAAGCATGCCCAGCTCATCGCCATTCTGTCTGGACTGTTCTCCCCAGGATGCCCGCAGGGCATCGCTCAGGTCTCAGATCAGCTGTTGCTTCCCTTGAGAGCAAGTCTCTCTTCATCCCATTACAATGTCTGCTTTTCTTGATAATATTTGTTACATCAGAAATTATCTTTATTTCTTTTTTGGGGGTGGGGAGGTACTGGGGATTGAACTCAGGGGTGCTCAACCACTGACCCACATCCCTTTTTTGTATTTTACTTAGAGACAGGGTCTCACTGAGTTGCTTAGTGCCTCACCATTGCTGAGGCTGGCTTTGAATTCACGATTCTCTTGCCTCAACCTCCCAAGCTGCTGGGATTAAAGGTATGTGCCACCAAGCTCAGCTCTTTATTGCTTTTTAAGTGTTTTATCCCACCAGAACATAATCTCTCTTTTTTTTAAAAAAATATTTATTTATTTATTTTTTAGTTTTCGGCGGACTCAACATCTTTGTTTGTATGTGGTGCTGAGGATCGAACCCGGGCCGCACACATGCCAGGCTGTAGTCTGTGACAAACAACTCCTGATATGGAGAGTTGGTGTGCAATCCCTTATCACCCTATGAGAAAGGTCCACGTGGCAGTTGTGCATTGGGGCTTGATGTGCTTTATCAAGGCTGGGGTGCTCGGGTGAGGGGGTAGTAGTAGTAGTAGTAGTAGTAGGAGGAGGAGGAGGAGTAGTAGTAGGAGTAGTAGTAGAGAGAGAAACAAGCTAAAAGACATGTCAAAACAAGGGCCTGAATAAACTACTGAAAGAAGATTCCTGAGTTGCGTCTTCCTTGCGGGCAAGGGGTCGCCACAAGTGGTGCCGAAACCCGGGAACCAGAACTTTCAGCAGTCAGGGTGGTGCACCGGTTAATTCCCAGGTAAATGGGAATCCGCAAATGAAAGCGGGGCGCTCCTCGGTAGATAAAGAGAGAGCGGGAAAAAAATAATAAATTCCCGCCCTGGGTATTGTCCAGGTGTGGGCTCATGCCACGCTCCACACTATCCTGTTTGCAGGTTGCACCACCAGGCTTATTCTGTGAAGTTTATTGAGTTGCACACTTATTTGTGCACTTTTTGTACCAGGATTATAGCTGGAAGAAAATGTTCACAGAGCAACACTGGGCCCATGCAGTGGGAAACTGCACCCTGACCATTTTGCAGATGAATAAAGTGGGGTTGGCAGAGGTTCAGTCACTGGCCAAGATCATGGAGCAAGTGGTGGGACTGAGGGCTGCAGCCGGCCTTTTCACCACCGCCTCTGTCCTGTCCCCGGCCTGGCGTGTTCAAGCACTCGTTCAACAGTAGCTCTCATTATTAGTAACATTTAACCTTTCTATTGCTTTGAATTTTTTCATCTCTTTTAAGTAATGCTTTATTATATAATTTGGGCATTTTGRGCTTTTCTCTGTTTTCAGATTATCTCCTTTGGATAGTGTCCCAAGAGTGGAATTAACTGGGAGAACTGAGGCCCAGGGAGCTGAGGTGACTTGCTTAAGGTCACATGTAAGCAGTGGTGGTTGAAGCAGGGCTGYCCTGTATAGTTGTATAGGTTGTTCACATCACAAGGGCAGTGGGCTTCCCAAAGGAGGCCCATTAGGAAGTCAGGTTGGTCAGGGTTTGGAAAGCCAGGAGGAATGAAGGAGATGGGTGTGAGGGGACTCCAGGGGAAACCTATCTCACAAATAAATGCTGAGCTCCTACTGAATACAGGTGGCCTTCCACTGTGGATACAACAGTGGATCAGCCCATCTGATCCCTGCTCTCATGGAGTGGATACTTTCTCACACGTGTGGGGAAGATAGTGGATGAATAAAGAAATTGAGTAAAACAATGATGGATTGAAATAAATATCAGGAAAAAACCAAACAGGTGCTTGAATCCAGGAGTGAGGGGATGGGCAGGACCAAACAGAGTGGTTAAGGGAGGCTTCTTTGAAGAGGTAAATCTTGGCTGAGAAGGCAAGAGCACACAATATGTGCAAAGACCCTGAGGTAGGATGCAAAGAGAGGGCTTCCAAAGCCAGGTAGAAAAGGGTTTTGAAGGGTCATGGGTTCAGAAGTCACTTCAGACAGTTGAGAAAGGGCTCTTTGCCCATCTCTGCTAGTCCTCTACAGCACACCTGACTGTTGCCAAGTACCCCAATTCCTCCTTCCTCATCCTCTCACTTTTGTCCCTTCCTTAACGACTTTCATAGGCTGGGGGGGGGGGCAGTCAAGGTAGCGTGGTGCCCCGGTGGGTAAAGTTCTGGGGTAACCACTGGCTCCCTAACTAGCTCTCTAAAGGAACCAAAGCCCCCATCTGTCCCACTCCAAAGACCTTTGAAGAGGCGGTTTAATTTACAGCCTAATTCCCGTCATTAACTCAGGGTCTGTTGCACATGAGTCCCTGGGCCAAGGGCCTCTTGTGCATTCTTGTCTATCATCCTTGTGACAGTCCTGTGATYGAAGTTCGGAGGGTACCTTCATTTTACCGTTCAGGAAACTGAGGCCCAGAAGAGTGAATTGGCTGACTTAAAAGTCACTTGGCTGGTTAAGGGATGAAACGGAAAGAGCCCACCTTCTTCTGGCACCCAAACCCCTGTGCCCAATCTCCAGGCCGCCTGGCCTCAGGTCTGGAGAGCCCGGGRGCCTCCTTTCCTGGGTGACTGGAAGCACAGAGGGGTGAGCACTTCTCAGACCGACCCCAAGCCCGGCCCCAGCGGGCAGCCTAGACCTTCCTGGGGGCTGGAGGCCTCCGCAGGGCAACAGAACCAGCAGAGCGCGGCCCTGAGTCACCGAGTATTTATAGCCCAGCCTCTCCTCTTTTCGGCATGGCGGGGACTTATCAGGTTCACTTGGGGCTCGGAGGGTGACAACCTGTTTATCATCCAAGGTCCCCAGGCAAGCTGTTGAGACATCCTCTGGGAACGAGGTCTGGAGGCCTGCCCATGTTTAGCCCTGACCTGACCCCACACCCACCCCTGCTGAGGCAAGTCTCCTGCTCTAGTGTCCCACGCCTTCCAAGCACACCCCAGCCCCCTCCCAGCCACACGCACCAGGGCGCTCCTGTCTTAGGTGAAAATGGGGCAGAGATGCCGCTTCTTCCAGGAAGATACCCTGGGCTGACCTGGGAAGGCGACACACCTCCCCTGGCCCCACTGTTCTTGGGGAGTGGACCTTGTCATTGGGCAGATAATTACATCAGCCAAGACCTGGACCTTCTATGTAAGAGACACTATGTTAAGAGGTTGCTTTGTCTTTTTGGTTCCCGGGATGGAAGCTAGGGCCTCTCAACCACTGAGCCCCAGCCCCAGCCCTTTTTAAAAAATATTTTATTTAGAAGCAGAGTCAAACTGAGTTGCTGAAGCTGGCTTTGAACTCATGATCCTCTTGTCTCAGCCTCCCAAGCYGCTAGGATTACAGTCATGTACCACTGCAACCCAGCAAGGATTTTAACATGGGGTGGGAATATAGCTCAGTTGGAAGAGTGCTTGCCTTGTATGCACAAGGCCCTGGGTTCAATCCCTGGCACAAAATTTAAAAAAAAGAGAGTTTTAATATTATTTTTCTCAATCCTCACCATGTATCTACATATATACATACATATATGTATGTATATTATATATAGTATATATAACACATATATATTATATATATATATATATTTCTTTTGCACTAGTTATGGAACCCCAGGGGCACTCTACCACTGAGCTACCCAGCCCTTTTCACCTTTTGAGACAGAGTCTTGCTAAGTTGATGAGGCTGGCCTCGGACTTGCCATCCTCCTGTGTCAGCCTCCCAAATCAGTGGGATCATAGGCTTATGCCATCATGCCTTGATCTTACAATAATTTTATAAATTGGATCTTAATTTAGTATCTATAGATACTGAAACTCAGAGCAGTTAAGAAACTTACCCAATAAGTAGCAGGGCCAGCCTCAAAATTTGGGTCTTCATTAAATCCAGATTCCAGGCAGTGGGTGAGCTTGGGCAAGTCACCTTCCCCTGGAGCCTCAGTTACTTTATCTGTAAAATGGAGATGCTGCTACCCCCCCTCACAGTTTTAAGGACTGAATAAACCTGGTAAACAGTAGGCGCCCAACTACTGATGTTATCCTCACCTCTTCAACTTGTTGAATCAGTAAATTATCTTGTTCTGAGCTGCTGAGGACAATCAGCCAGGCCATACCTTCCTCTGAACTTCAGGGACTTGAACCCAGGACCTAGGCTACTCCAGCCCCCATCGTCCCGCTGCCCCAACTCTGCTTCTCCCTAAGAGCAGGCTGTTAGGGCGGAGGTGACCCAGAACCAGGGGCTGGGGCTGGGGCAGGGGAGGCCGGTGGGAGGAGCAGGAGTTGGGGGTGAGGGCTGGCGGGTGCAGAGGCACAGTAGACTGACCTGGCTGTCCCTCAGGGCATCTATTTTGGACAGGGCTGGCCTCCAGGCAGCTGGAAGCTGGAACCCAAGGTGTCAGTGCGGAGTTAACRGAGCAGCCCCTGGGGCCAGATTTAGTGGTTGAGCTCTGACCCCAGATGGCGGTGTGGATGCAGGCACAGGGCCACGCTGCCTCTGGGATTCCTGCCCTGGGTTCTGAGTGTTTGCATGGGGCGCCCTGCTCCTGATGCCAGCTTCAGCCCCTCGGTCCCCAGGGCAGTGCTGCGCCCCTAACTCATGTCAGACAGGTTTGGGCTCAAGGCCTGGATGTTCCATTTATTATTTGTGTGACCTTGGGCAAGGCATTTAATGTTGCTGTCCTGAGGGTTCTGATGGCTAATTGGGGTTCCCCCACCCCAGGGCTAGTTCTCCTGTCTTCACCTCCCTGCAGGGTCCTGTGCACCCCCTGCCCTAGGCCTTGACCTGCCTGCTCCAGGGGCCCTCAGGCCTCAGTGCTTCCAGAAACTCTGATCCAAAATGCCCCTTGGCCTCCTGGCTGGGGTCCATCTCAGACAGAGGTGAGGCCGGGCCAGGCTCCAGTGGAACTCAAGTTTCTTGCTGGGACTCGTGAAAGGGCTTGGTTAAGGAGCCTGGGCTGTTTGGGTTCTGATCCTTGGGAGTACTGGCTTTGAACAGTTGGGGATTTCTTTCCAGCCACTTCTTTCTGTCTTTACCACATTTACATACCCACACATAAAAATTTTTAAATACAACAGGATCAGATTGCATACAATTGGCCTGTTATTTTCCTATCCGTGCCCAGCAATCTGTCTTTCTGACATTCGACAGCTTTCTCTATTAGTGTTCCACATGGACACTTCTTGCAACTTTTTTGAACTGGGGGAATATTCACATGTGTATTTATGTATGAATGTATGTGTGTATTTTTCTGCATGGACAGTTGGGAAGCTTACTGGGGTTTGCTTTTGTTTTATTATTTAGTAAATTTTTTCTTCAACTATAGTTAAATGGATGATTCGACATTCTCACAGACTGGTGCTCCTGGGTAACCCACACCTGGCTCAAGAAACTGCTCCTCACCACACTCCCAGAGCCCCCGAGCTTCCTGCCTGTCCCYATGCAGGCTACCACTGCTGTGACTTCTAGCAGCTTGGCTGAGTTTGCCTTTTTTTTGAACACTGTGTAAACGAAATCATACTCTAAGATCAACATTCTGTTTATGAGTTTCATAATGTGGCAATGTTTGTTTATTCTAATTCTGTACAGTATTCCACTATGTGACCTCGTAGCCATTTATCTGTCCTATTTATGGAAATTTGGGTCACTTCCAATGTTTTGCTATTACAAACAATAGTGCAAAAACCATCTTTGTGTGTAAATAGATCTGTGTATCTGCATCCATCTCTCTCTCTGTCATTTCTAGTTTGACGGCAAGATTCCTGAGAGTACATCTGCCAAGTCTCAAACAGGAATATTTTACATTTTGACTTTATCAAATTGCACCCTAACCTGAGCTTGAGAGGTGTGCAGCGCCCACATCCCTGCATCCTCTCCAAGGTTGGATTATTTTCCATTTTTACTATTTTTGTCAATCTGATAGAAGAGAAATCAGGTTTTATTGTGCTTTTAATGTGATTTTTCCAGCCAGTGAGGCTAAGCAGCTTTGAGTTTTGTTTCTGTTCGGGGGCCAGGGGAATGCTTTCTTTTCTGAACTGCCTTTCTTTGTCCCTCGCTGGGTCTAAAAATCTGCACAATCATGGACATGGACACTTGGTCTTTCCACGTGTTTCTCATGCTTTCTCTCTGCCGGTTACTTGTCTTTAAGCTTTGTTTATGGAGCAACTGCTGGTTTAAATATAGTCTGTTTTTCCTCCTGCTCCTTGTTTATGATCTGGATAGTCCCGGAGGGTGTGTGTGGCAACCTCCAGGTTCAAGTTGGTGGGGGTGGAGAGCCAAAGCAGCTGGACCCCCCAAGATGGTCTCTCTGGGGTACAAAGGAACACTCAGTTCAGCACTGAGCCCTTGAGAGGGAATTTGCCTTGATGCTGTCTCTAGTCTAGTTTCTGGGTCTTTCCAGTGTCGCTCAGGGGCCCCGTTCAGAGTCCCCCCTCAGTGAAGAGAGTCTTTCACTTGGCCCCAGGACCAGGAAGCAGGGGGAGCCAGGGCCAGTAGGGGTGGGGACAAGAGAGATGGGGGAAACCCAAGAACAACAGCTAGGCAGCCCTATTCTCTGAGTTCAAGTTCTGAACCACTGGATTTAATGCTTGTATCTGTCTGCTCCAGCTGACCTAACAAAATACCAGAGATTAGATTAATTCAACAGTAGAAATTTATTTCTCAGTTCTGTAGTCTGGGCAGTCCAAGATCAGGGTGCCAGCAAGGTGGGCCCCATGTGGAGGCCTCCGTCTTGGTTTGTGGGAGGCTGCCATCTTGCTTTGTTGCTTTGTGCTGATCACAGGGCCTCTCCCTGGTGTGGGTGCAGGAGGGAGAAGGAGCACGTTCCTTTTGATAGTGGCACTAATCCCATCTTCTTGACTTCAGCTAATCCCAATTGCTGCCCAAAGGCCCCTTCTTCAGATACCATCCCACTGAGGAAAGGGCTCCCATATAGGAGTTCTGGAGCATTTAGTCCAGAACAAAGCTCCAGACTTTCCTGAAGTCTAGCTTTGGGAAAGTTACCTGATTGCTCTGTGACACAGTTTGCTTCTCTATAAAGAGGCAATGTTAATGTTAAGGAACTAATATATCGATACATACCTACAAAACACTTAGGACAGACTGTGATTGCCAGCCTCAAAGAAGGTCTTCGTGGGGCTGGGGTTTTGGCTCAGCGGTGGAGTGTTCGCCTAGCACGTGCAAGGCCCTGGGTTCGATCCTCAGCACCACATAAAAATAAATAAAATAAAGGTATTATGTCCAACTACAACTAAAAATAAATATATATAAAAAAGGTCCTCGTAATCCATGCCTCCTCATATTTATGGCCTGGTAGAGGCCCCTCTCGCATTGCATCAGGATGGGTCTTCCATCCCAATAGAATCCAGTTGAAATGATGGTGGGTGACTTTTGGGCTGGATCATAAAAGTCTTGCTCTTTTTTTTTTTTTTTTTGGTATCAGGGATTGAACTCAGGGACATTCAACCACTGAACCACATTCCCAGCCCTATTTTGTATTTTATTTAGAGACAGGGTCTCACTGAGTTGCTTAATGCCTCGCAGTTTCTGAGACTGGCTTTGATCTCGTGATTATCCTGTCTCAGCTTCCCAAGCTGCTAGGATTACAGGTGTGCCYCACTGCACCTAGTTGTCTTGCTCTTTTGGATCCCTTGCTCTGAGAAAAGCCAGGCGCCATGTTAGGAGGATGCTCAAGTAGCGCTGCAGGGGGAAGTACATGGGCTGAGGCCTCCCACCAACTTGCTAACCATGTGTGTGCGCCATCTTGGAAGCAGATCCTCCAGTTCCAATCACCACAGTCCCAGCCAATATGTTGCCAATAACCTCTGTAGAGACCTCAAGCCCGAGCCACCCAGCTTAGCTGCTTTTAAACTCCTGAGCCACAGAAACTATGTAGGATAAGAAATTGATTTTTTTTTTTTGATACTGGGGATTAAACTCAAGGATGCTTTGCCACTGAGCCACATCCCCCAGACCTTTTTATTTTTATTTTGAGACAGGGTCTTGCTAAGTTGCTTAGGGTCTCACTAAGTGGCTGAGGCTGGCCTGGAACTTGTGATCCTCCTGCCTCAGCCTCCCAATGCCACAGTCTGGCTGGGCACAAAATTAACCAAGCGGCCACGAGGCACTTGTAGGCTCAAACAGGAACTACTTTATTGCCCGAACTCTCACCCGTACTCCACACGCGCTTCCCAGGAACTGTCTCACACTCCACCTGGCTCCGTGCCAACTCTGAACCTGAACCCTGAGAGAACTCAACGGGAAACTAGTGGGCACCGAGACAGCAGGAGCAGCCCTATTGCGGGACAGCAGGGTCCATATACATCTGAATACACAGCCTGCCCCAATCCAGCATCATCTAGTCACAGCAATTATACACAGCTTAATTTAATCATCATCATCTTAATGGCTCTCAACCACTCTCAACCACCACCTCTCAACCACTCCTTCTGGCAGTGCCAGGTGCCATCCCGACTCGGCTGTGGCTCTCAACATCCCAAGTTGCTGGGATTATAGGTGTCTGCCAACATGCTCGGTTAAATAACTGTTGATTTTTGATTTAAGCTGCCATGTTTTGGGAGTAATTTGTTATGCAGCAGTAGATAATCCACAGATGGCAGGCAGGGTGGCACATATCTGTGGTCCTGGCTACTTGGGAGGCTGAAGCAAGAGGATCATTTGAACTCAAGAGTTCAAGGGTAATCTGGGCAACATAACAAGACAAAGTCTGGAATTAAAAAA